GTGAGTGTGTATTTGTGTGTGTGTGTGTGTGTGTGTGTGAGAGAGAGAGAGAGAGAGAGAGAGAGAGAGAGAGAGAGAGAGAGAGAGAGAGAGACTAGGGACTGAACCCAGGGGCATCCTTTTTATTCTTTATTCTGAGACTGTGTCTTGCTAAATTACTGAGGCTGGCCTTGAACTTGCAATCCTCTGCCTCATCCTCAGTCTCAGAGATTACAGGTGTGCACCACTACACCATGGCTACTTAATAAACAAGCAAAAGTCCCAAATCTCAATCAATAGAAATTCTCTCCATAATTGATAAATGAAAAGACACTTATAGAATCAGGAGAAATAAAATTTGAAAAATTAAGTGAAAATTAACATAAAAACAGTGATCAATTTTTAAATTTTCACAGCCCTTGAAAATATTTTAGGTATTTTAAATCATCTGGGTCCTCACCACAGGGTCAATTCTACCAGCCTTTCTAGGGCCACCATCCATTCTGATGTAAATTTACTATTGTTTTTCTAAATAACCTCTATTGTAACAGCTGGTTTCCATTTTGATGCAAAAGCTTGGCACTTCAGGTGGTGCTAGGGATTAAGCCCAGGGTTTAGCACAAATTGGACAAGCTTTGAGCACTGACTCTCAAGCCCAGGATGTTAGCTTTTGTAGGGGGACTCCGTGCAGTCATAAATCAATAAAGCACCAACTCTATTTACAACTGCTGGGAAGAGAAAGGGAGTCCAAGGGAATTGATGGGTAAGGGGTAATATTGAGCAACTCCGGGAAACACTTTAGAGATAACAACATGGTATGGGAAGTTAAATGTTCAGCTCCATCTTGGGGGACTTTTGACCCACAGAACCAGCTAGAAACTGGGATGAGGATGGAAATGTGAAACTGAACACTGAGAATGGCTGGGATATCTTGGGGCACCGGCATCTTCTAGAGCTTCTCTTCCTACCTCCCTGGGCTACGTCCCAGTTTAGAAGAGACAATTAGTCCAAATCAGCAAATACTGACTGCATAATTAGGGGGCCCTGTTGCTCTAAGAGCTGTGGAAAATACAAAGGTGATCCCACACAGTCCTCGAATGGACGGTACTTTAAAAATCTAATAGGAGAAATAAGGTAGGTATACAAAAAATGGCTCCAGGAGGAATATGCTACGGGATTCTACTGGGCTGAGAGATGTGGCTCAGTGGTAGAGTGCTTGCCTGACATGTGTGAGGCCCTGGGTTGGAGCTCCAGTGCCTCAAAAAAAGGACAATATTATTGGGGGGCTGGGAGTATACGGAGGTACAGTCTTTGCCTTGGGTTCAATCCCCAGCACCAAAAAACAAAAAAGCATTTTATTTGGCATAAAACAAAAATGCACCAAGAATGTTACTACTACTAAATAAATAAGCAAAAGCAAAATGAACCTCATCCCAGACACTGCCACAGGCAGGGATGGAAGGAGACTAAGCCTTGAAGAATGTGAGGTAAGGGCTGAGCAAGCACAGGGGGCAAGGAGACAGACAAGAGACAAGTCAAAGCCCTGAGATCAACCCAAGTTCAGACCAAGAGGGAAAAGGTCAAGTGCGCCAAGCATGTTAGCTATTTTTCTTTTCTTCTTGTGGTGCTGGGGATGGAACCCAGGGCCGCCTGCCTGCTAGGAGAGCGAGCGCTCTGCCAACTGAGCTACATCCCCAGCCTCAGTTCTCCAAGTATAAAGTGCACTCGTAAAGGGAGGCTCATGAGAAAAGTCCTTGGGAAGGAGTATGAGCTTTATTCTAAGAGGAAAGGGGAGACCACTGAAGGCTGCTTTTTGCATGCTGGGGGCGTCATCAGGGGTGGGGTTATAAGCAGTGGCCCACACCAGTAATCTGGAGACTGAGGCAGGAGGGTCGCAAATTCAAGGCCAGCCTGGGCAACTCAGCAAGACTCTTGTCTCAAAATAAAAAAATAAAAGGGCTGGGGGTGTATCTCAGTGGTAGAGCAGCCCTGGGCTCAGTCCTGAGTACTGAGAGAGAGAGAGAGAGATGGGTTTAGTAAAAAAGCATAAGGAAATCAATTTCTTAGGGACAAATTCACTTCAGTTTTAAGATCAAAACCAAAGGAAAAACCATAATGGCTAGATCTCAGAGACACTTATCAAAACACAATCTAAGGACTAGTAGGGTGTAGGGGGAAAGAACGCTAAATTAAAAAAAAAAAAAGTAATATTGACTCACATCTGATAACAGCCACATCATTACAAAAAACCTTGCCAGGGCTGGAGAGTAGCTCAGCGGTAGAGTGCTTGCCTAGCATGTGTGTGGCCCTGGGTTCCATGCCCAGTGCCACGAAAGAAAAAAAGAAATATGTCTATACCCTGCTGGCCCCTAGCACCCCTTGGGCACTTGGGCCAGGGTCAAGGAGGCTTTACAGCTCCCTCCTCCCCCATTTCCTCTTGACTTTGCTATTGGCCAAACAGCTTCCTAGACCTTACCCTTCAAATCTCACTCTGCCACCAAACCCCCAGGAATCTACTCACCCCACCCCCAACCGGTACCTTGACGCCATTCAGCTGCCCTGAAACTGATCAGCCTCAGATGAAGCAATCCATTCCCATCCTAAAATGTCTTAATCCTCTGCTTCCCCCCAAAATTGAAGGGCAGGTGGGGAGACAGAAATACACTGACTCAGGTGGAAAAAAAAATTGGGCCAGCTGAGCCTGGCTCTGGTCCCCTGCTTAGGACAGAAACCCTTGGAAGCCAGCAGAAGAGTTCAAGAGAATGAAGCTCAAGAGGCGCACGGACAACCAAGAGTGCAGATTCAGCCACCTAGTTGATGTCCCCTCGGGATGGGGGCTAAGGGCGAGACCAGATGGACCCAGCTCTGCTCTTGGGCTCTTCCTCAGGGCTCTGGAAGTATCTTCTTCCTTCCGTGGATCCTGTACTCACACTGAACCTCCTGAGCCTTGAACATTAAAATCGTGAACACCTCTCTCCCTTCCCAGGCTCTAAGTCTGGGGCTAGTGAACAAGACAGTGTTCCTTGAAACTTCTATGCTGGGGCCTGGACAGAGTAGGCATTGCAAAATCATCCCCTGAATGGACACAGCGTCCATTTCTCCTCACCCAGTCCCGCCTCCTTCATTTTGGGGTCACATCTCCTGCATAAAGATTTTTAAGAGAGGAATGGAAGAGGGAGCAAGCTCCTCGTGCCCTAGGAGCCTCCCACTCCCCACAGCTGAAGTCCAGCCTCCGATGTTTTTTTTTTTTTTTGGACAAAAGGGCCCTTTTGCTTCACCTCTCCAGAACCAGTCACACAAATATTTTTAATCACCTCTGAAATCTGCCTTTCCCTGGCTCAGCCACCCAGCCCCCAGCTGTGGTCTGAGTCAGTCTAGTCCAGCTCCAGAAATGTCTGCCCTTCTCACTCCAGGGGGAGCAGAGAGGCCTCCAGGGTTGGAGGGCGGAGGCCCAGCCAGCCCTGACTGGTTTTACCCAGCAACAGGTGAGGCAGCCAGCCCCCCTCACCCCTCCACCATCCACACCCAAACTGGAGAACTCCTCAGGGTGAAGAATACCATCGTGGAAAGAAAGCCCCAAGAATCTGGGGAAGCAGTCCTGGTCTGTCTCCCAGGCTCAAGGGTGCAGAGTGATATCAACCTGAGGCCAGTGGTTGCCTTCAAGGGTGCCAAGAACATTGAGAGCCCCTCCCGGAGGGGGCTGCTCAGCCAGGGAGAGCGCAGAGCAGCCTTCTTCCTCCCTGAGTGGCTGCCTCCACTCAGCAGACTGAAAAGACGGGTGGACTCTGCCAGTTTCCTCTCACCTCCCATTCATCTCCTCCTCCTTTCTCTCTCAGTCGCCGGCTGGGTCCTAAGGTGTTAGCCCTCAATCCAGAGGGCTCTGACACTTAACCCATCCAATAAGGAGTCTGGGAGATCCAGTGCCAGGAAGGAGCCACCTCAATCCGGTCCCCACCCCATACCAAGAATTGGCGTTGGGGCCAAACTGCCTCTGGGGCATTCAGAGACTCAGAAGTCTTCACCAAGGGTCTGCTCAGGAATGTCCCTCTGGAATGCGCCCCACCCCCCATCAGCACTCCCGGTCCCAGCCACACTGGAAGGCACATGGTTGGTGATGGTGGTGGTGTGGGAGGTGGGGATCCAGGCCACAAAACCCTGTTTGTACACATTCTGGTGCTTTAGGATCAAGATCGGTAGCTTTAAGTGATGAGGTCTTCTCGGGTGTAAAACTGCGGTCTGGGGGTGGGGGTGGGGGGGAGTGAAAAGGACACAGGAAAAGCCAGGAGGGTGGGGGTGGGGTCTTCAAGCCACGCTGCCAGGAATCCAGCGGTGTGATAGTCGAAAATTCCAAACTTTCCCGCAGACAGATCCGGAGCCTTCCCCTTCCCACTCCAGTCCCCGCTACTAAGGTCTACACTCGCGCTTCCTCGGACGTCTTGACAGAAAGGGCAGGGAGACCAGTCACTTTTCGTCAAAGTTCCCCTGTCCACAGAAACCTGCCCCCTTCCCTTCCACAGCATTGGGCAGCGGAGAGCAATCTGTGGACTCCCGCTAAGAGGCAGGCGGATCGAGGGACACTCCCGCCGCGGACTCCTTTCTCTTGCTGTCCACCGGGGCCGCCGCTCCTGGCTTCCTCCGCCCCCAGTCCCCAGCTGGCTTGGGTTTGGAAACTTTCCGGGACCCAACGGAGTTGGCGCGGCGTCCCCCGCCTCCCGGGTGTCCACCCCAGCGCCTCTGCCCTCGCCCACTCCCTGCCAGCCCTACCCGGCTCTTCCGGGCGGCGGAGGGGAGGGCGGAGCGGGAAGGCAGCAGCCTTACCTGGGACGCGCCGCCAGCCCGGCTCCGGCGCGGCGTCTGGGGCCAACTCCAGCTCCAGGCAGAGCGCGGGCGGGGGTGGGAGGGACTCCGCGCAGGGCGCAGCGCCAGCCTCAGCCCTGGCTGCGGTGGCGGGGCCCCGGCGGGGGCGCGGGGCGCAGGACCTGCCTCCCCGGGACCCGGGCGGAGCTGGGCGCGCTAGGTCGCTCGCTTTCGCGCCGGGTGCCCGGCTCCTTCCTCTCGGCGAGGGTGGGCCGGCCGGTATCACCGTGACATCACCTCCATTCACGGCGCTTATCCGGCGCCCGCGGCGCTCCAGGTAGGTGCAATCCGTTTACACAGTAACAAAGCCCGCCCTGCCCTCCCTCCGCCGACTCACCTCCAGCCTCGGCCGAGACGCACTTTCCGGCCGGTGAGCGAGATCCGAGTTTCTGGCCAAGCTGGCGTGTGGGTTGTTGCTGTTTACTGCCACGCCCCCGCACGCGAGCACGCGCACATTCACGCGCACTCACTTTCTGGATTCGGCTCTTTCTCTGGAAAGCGGTTTGGGGTGCAGCCCAGCACATCCCGCGGGCGGGCTCTCCCTCGCGGCATCTCCCAGCTCGCGTACGCACCCACTGGCGCCGGGGCTGCCTTGGCGCGTCTCTCAGTGGCGGACACCCAGCCTTTGTCACCTTCGTCCTGGCTTTCCTTCGAGACACGCCAGACGCAGTTCGCTGCCCCGGGCTGGAGCGAGGCGCACACTGAGACACAAAGTCCGTCTTTGTCACGCTTTCTGCGCCCCCTCCCCTCCAGAGCTTGCACACGTGGACACTTCACACACCCAGCGTCCACCTCTTTAACGCGCGCTCCTTCCCTGATACCCCAGTCACCAAGATCACGTGGGAATGCCGCCACGCACGCCCCTAATCCCGTGGGCCGAGCCCCAACCCCTGCAGACCGTGGGCAAACGTCGCGCTGGGTTTACTATCCAGCGCTCAGGTTTCCCGAGACCGCTCCAGACCCGGCTCAATTCGGAGCGCGCGCCCCCCTCCCCGCGTCCCCGTTCCGCGTGCCGACTTGTCCTAATTAGCCTTCACGGTTTTGTTCCCCGAGGTACAGTGTTTAACCGGGCCCCGATCTCTGCGCTCCGGGTCACGCTGACCCTGACTCCGAGTTTAGCCCCTCCCGCGGCTGGGGGACCTTTCCACGATTTCGGGTTCCCCTGAGCCCCACACCCCCGCTCCCTGCCAGGGTGGATCTGCGGGTGACTGCCCTGACCCCTCCGGACCCGGTAATCTGCTGAAAGGGAACCGCAGAATAGGGAAGCGAATCCCGGCTGAGACCTCTCTCGCCCAGTAAACAAGAGATTTTCCGGCCTCCTCCTCCAGGGGCCGCGGGCCCCGCGGGAGGTGGGCTGCGCTGCCCCTGGAGGCCGGGTGCGGGCCTGCTTGGCTTGCGCCGGAGGCCCTGAGAGGCCAAGGCGCACCGAGAAAGAGGAGGTTGTTGAGCCTGGCCCGGCCCCTGGGGACGCGGGGGAGGGCAGGGCGACGGGTCTCGGGGTGCCCATTCTCGTGACGCCTAGTTGCCTGGGGGATCGCCAGCAGCGCGCGGTCGGAGCCAACCGGTGGCGGGGCGGACTGCTGGGCATGTTTGTTCAACCCCGAGCGCCTGCGAGGGGGAGGGGAGGCAGCTGGTCACGGGTGAGGGGGTAGCCAGGTGGGGTCGGGCGCGGAGAGGGGAGGGGTACCTCCCGGGCTGTTTGTTTGCGTGCCTAGGTCTATGACAACCTGGAGTCTAAACTCTATCAATCACCCAGAGCTGCCCGAGCGATAAACCTCAGGCTGTTCCTCCCTTTGCACACCGAGCTTTCTGACTAGGAGGGAATGTTTGCTTAGCCGGGTAGCAGCGGTAGGGCCCTGGCTTTCTAGAACACTATATCCCTTCCTGTGCCCTATGCTGGCAGGCTTATCTGGAGAAGGCTGCTAAGACCAAATTGTTTCAGTGTTGCTGCTCCAGAGCTCTCCAATCCCTCATTCACCTCCCACCCCAGAATCGGGGACCAAGGCATGAATAGGGTTAGCAGCTCCATGCCCACACTGAAAAGCCCCCATCTACCTGAGTGAGAGAAGCTAAGTTGTCCTGGCTTCTAACTACGTTTACTTAACCAGGCCACTACCTGGCAGCTCACTGGGCAGGGTCATCATGTAGGAGAAATAGCCTGAGACTACAAGACCTGTTGGCCCTAAGGAGTGGAAGACAATTTAAGTTATGGCCCTGATACTAGGTCAATTTGCTTGCCCTCTTCAAGAGCCTCTCCTCCCCACCTAGGTTCTCCGGACATCAGCTCCTGTCCCCTGCAGCCCTGCCTCAGGCAGGTGAAGGACTGGACTGTCTGTTGCCTGATCATGGATCACCACCCGGGAGTCCTTTGCAAAGGGGCCCCACTCTCAAGGGCTGAGCCCTGGGGAAATGTAGGACAGTTTCTGAGAACTGTTTGCTCTTCCCTCTTCACTCCAGCTCCCTTCTGGAATAGGATCTGTCTTCAAAGGACAAAGCAAGTCCCTCAGCGCAGATGGCCTGGGCCCCTAGGTGTCCAGGATTTCTGTTGCACTCCACTTCAGTCCCTGGACCTGGGTAGGGAGAATGGAATTGGGAGCTGCCGCCCCCATGCCACCCTAACCCTCACCCTAGTGGGCAGGGCTGTACCCACGCAGCCTACCATGCTAGAAAGGGAGGTTCTCGTGAGGTACTGTGCTTTTTCAGACTTCAATCACAGGGTCATCTGTGTCCCCTGGTGCCCCTCAACCTTAGTTAATAACAACCCAGCAGGCATGGAACCCATTGTGAACTCCCATTTCACCAGAAAGTAACCCTTTGAGACATGGTCCCTGCAGGTGCTGCACACCCACTGTTCCCAGCCTTCCTGGCCTTCCTGGATTGAGGCAGAGCACCCCACTGCCCCCCATCTGCCCTCTCCCAAGCATCTGATTTTTACTGGAAGGTAGAATGTCACCACCTTTACTCACTGGAAAGCCCCTTCTTTTAGCTGCCTGGGTTCCCTCAATCCTGGAATCTGAGGTACTCGCAGGGCCAGGGTGCCATCTGCCAGCTGTGTGACCAGCAGGTCACTTCATCTCTCTGCACCCCACCTTCCTCTACTGCAAAATGGAGGTGATAACACCATCCCCATCTGTGATAACACCTCTCCTATCTGTGACTGCCTAACCTCTCTGAGCCTTAGGCCTTTTAGCTAAAGACATCTGGCAGTTTTGAACCCAAACTTCTGTAGAATCTGCTTTTCTGACACTTTCAACTCCACATCACCATCAGGAGAGCCATGCTTGATCACTCTTTGGGACGCATGCCCTAAGCCTTCACCTGTGCTGGTCTTTCTACCTGAGATGTCCTGTCCCTCCCACCTCCTGTCTCTGTCTGGCCAAAAATTTTTGCAAATCTGCCTGCCTCAGAATGAGGCCTTTCTCAGTTTCCCCAAGAGGAACCACTGTGAGCTGCCCACTTACCCCCAGTCCATTATGCATTTGTTTATCGTTTCTCCTGGTGTATCATAAGTAACCTTTTGAGCCTTTCTCAAGAGCAGGGACTCTTCTTACTATCCGTCCCCAGAGCCTTTCTCAAGAGCAGGGATTCTTCTTACTATCCGTCCCCAGCATCTGGCACACAGCCTGGAGCATGGTAGATATTTTCAGCAAATGTCTATGGAATAGCCGTTATTCTGCTGCCAAGTGCTCTACCTCTGAGCTGTACTTGCAAGGAATAGCCACTAGTCTGTAGGAGACCACTGCTGACCTTCCCTCTCATACAGCACCCTTGCAAATGGTGCCACAACTTCCCCGCGACAGGCAAGCATCTTTTCTGCTGGAGAATCCCACCTCTCCTGGGCCAGCCAGCAAGCCCCGCACCAGAGCCCAGGATAGGGCCCCTGGCAACCCAGTTTTAGCATGGAGGAGCCCAGCCAGGGAGTGCTAGAGGTCACTAAGTCCCTCAGAGGAGCTGCCTTGTCCCCACTCCCTGTCCTGGGTCACGGTTTCAGCTTTTCTTCCTCCATGGAGGGGCAGGCCAACCTCCTCTTTTTAGCGGGTGGAGGGTCCTCAGTGCAGTGAGAACAGTGCCCCCCTGAACTAAGGGTAGGTCCAGGCTCCCTGATAGGTAGGGGCCTTGTTCCTGAACTGGGTGGCCAGGAGCCCCGCCACCTGCAGCTGGTTAATAGTTTGCATTTCACCTGGCCTTGCCCTCGGGCTCTGCATTAACTGGTTACAGCCCCTGCTGCATGCTTTGTTGGGCCTGGTCTTTTTCTTGGTCTCACAGGACTTCCTGCTTGGAGCAGCAGAGGCTGCGTGGGTTTTGTTTTAGAGGGGCCTGCGATATCATGATGGCCCTTTAAGAAGCAGGAAGCCATATGAGTTAAAGACTCATTCACCTCAACTGGCTACCCGTGGGTGACCCCTCTGGAAATGTCCCCGGACCGAAGCAGGCTTTGGATAGAGCCTGCTAGAATGCCACCTGACCGGGAGCCCTTCTACAAACCTGCGTCTGCGTCCACAGCTCAGTGGCCGCTGACCAACTCCCTGGGAGCAGAGAACTGGATTTTCTGAGTTGCCCAGATCTGGCCAGCCTCCATCAACAGACTTAGTGAATCCTAAGAGCCAGATCTTAAAGCAAGGGTCCAGACATGCAGGCCACTCAACCCGCCACCCTCTCCAGAAACAAAAAGGAAATGTGTGACCACACAGTATTTAGCTTCCCCGCCTTCAGGAGTCTGCCCGCCATCTGAGAGCATTTCAAGGGTGAGCAGGACTTCCGTCTCACCCCAATAGCTGCACTAGCCCCCAAAGTGATGATCCTGCTTGCATTGTCCCCTCCAGTCACCCTGTGAGCCCTCATCTAATGTGGGTCATTCCCTGATTTTACTCCAGGGCTCTATAACACCTTCCTTGGCTCCTGATGCCTTTAAAGACCAGACCCCCTTGCCCAGCATTCAAGGCCTCTGCAGCCTGTATCCAACAGGGGCTCCTTCCTCTTCCCCACAGGAAATGGTCACTCTGGCCTGAGCCTGCCTCCTGACTGCCTTCCTGTGACTTGCTCCCATTGTCCTTACACTCAATCCAAGATGCCCTCCTCTTAGAGACCATGTCCTAGAGCCCTGGGCTGTCCTGCAAGCAAGTGCTGGTGACCTCAGAGTTCTCTTTCCCCCAGAACTCTGCCGCCCCCATTTGCTAATCTTACCTTTTTTTGCATTGTTAATTATCTTATACAGAGATACCTTGCCTCCCTAATGCTGGGAGGCCCTGTAGGAATGAATTCTAGATTCTGCCCCTCTCCTTCCCAGCACAATGCTTTCTGCATCCAAATAATAAAAAAAAAAGGGCATTAAATATTGGTGATTGTATTGATTGACCAAAAGAGAGGCTGCTGTCAGCCTTTCTAAGTGGGAGGGGGGAGAGGACGACACAGGGTCAGCAAGAATCCAGTGTCCAGAACCCCAGGCCAAGGAGTTCAGAGATCTGGCTTGTCTGATGATATAATACCCCCATGTGGTGCTGTACAATTTCAAATCGTTTTTTACATAATTTGATGCTTTCGACCATATAAGCATCCAAAAGGGTAGGTCCGAATCCATAAGGCAGATGTCATTATCTCTGTTTTATAGACTTAAAAACTGAGGTTCACAGAGGCCAAGACCCGCTGTGGATTTGGACTTGGTCTTTACTGTCTGTGCCCTGACTGCTTTCCTCGCCTCTTGTATAGCCCTTAGAATGTCCCGCCTGTGGATAGGTATTTATGCACCTGTCCCGCCCCAGCCGAGGCACAGGCTTGGAGGAAGGGTGAAAGCCCCCTTCATCTTCCTGTTTCCCTTCCTGCCCTCCCGGAAGGAGGCCTCACTTCCCATCGCAAGGTGGCCAGCCGTGGGCGGCTGCCCTTCCTCTTCCAGAATCCCCTTCACCTTCAGAAGCCAGCCTCCACTCCAGGGCCCTGCCTTCTTGGCCTGTGGCCTCTGATGGTCACATCCACCCTGCACACTCTGCACATGTGGCCATTTGGCCCTTCACCAGCCTCTGCAGCCACCACCAACATAGCGTACTCAACAAACCCTTTAAAAGACCCACTCACTGCCCCACCCCTTGCCTGGAAATTTGAGGCTGCCCCAACCTCTAATCCAGCCCAGACCCCTAGCAATGTTGGGAGAGTCATGGGACCACAGGGGACCCAGAGATGGGTTCCTCCAGCAGGGCCGGGCCGGGCAGGGCCGGGCAAGGCCCACCAGCTGGCTTCTGGGCCCTGTCCAGTCCCAGCTGTTCCTGGCACTATTTGGGGCTTGACTGCCTCCCTCACCGGAAGGCCAGTTGCGGTGCAGCCTGGGCTGCCGGGAACCGGTGCGCTATTCTGGGAGTGTGATGGGGCTCAGAGGCCTGGCGGCGGCTGGAACCTCAGCCCCTTTGGTTTCCAGACTGCGCTCCTCCCCTCTGATGATAAGGCAGCCTTCAGTCATTATGCAAAGTTCAGAACCACCGACGGCACGTTGGAGGGTCTTAATGGCCCTTGTGGTTGTGCTAAAGTGGGACGTGGGCAGAAGCGGCCTGCGCGTCAGCCTCCGGAGGCAGCAGCCCTCACTCTCGCTGTCACTCACGTAGCCCAGGGTGCTTTTCCTTCAGCTCGTCCTCTCGCCCCCCACCCCTTGCCGCATTAGCCCAGGCACGGGATCTGGCTCCATCCCTCCCTGTCAAATCCAGGGGCAGATTTCCTCTGTGGCCTTTTTTCTTTCTCTTTTTAAATTGAAACTGGATATTTCTGCAACGTAAGCAATACAAGTACGAACACTGAGTTTGGTTGACAAAAGATTAACCCAACTTAGAGCAAAATTAAGCCCTTACGATTGACCTGGTTTGGGTAGGAGCCTGGAGATTTATGATCCTGGTGTGGAACTAGAAGCCAGGACGGGAAGAGAGTCTGCCCTACCCAGGGTCACTCGCTGGTGGACAGGAAACAGATATCTGGACCTGTTCTGATCGCGGAATCCAGCTCCCTAGGCAAGGAGCCTGTGAGCCTGCCTGACATCCTCGCCCCACACGTGCCTAGAGATGCAGGCGGGCCTTGGGAATCGATGAGGCCAGGTTAGAAAGAACTGTGGGAGTCCACCAGGAGGAGCAGGCAAACCACAGCACAGGATGCCCTGGAAGGATTCTGGCCAGGCAGTCCAGGCTGGCCGCCTCTTAGATAACAGTGGACTTGAGGATTAGCAGAAGCAGGGCCAACGTGGGGAAGTGTGGAGGGTCCACAGCTGAAGTGCTCCAGGGGGTGAGCGCCTACCTCTTTCTTCTATTCCTCCCCAGGAGCGGATCTTCGTTCCACATGGTGGAAGGGATGATTAAGGAACAGCAAGTTGCTGTGAGACATCTCCTCTGTTCTCTTGCCTTCTTATTCCCCGGCTCCAAATATTTTCCAGCCCTGTGTGAAGTCATCCCTGTCAAGTTCAAGATTCACCTCCTCCTTCACAGTCCCCTGGGAGTGTATGAAGACTACAGGCTTCTGAACCTGTTCGATAACAATCTCCAAGTGCAACAGACTATTAGGTCTCATAAAGTTTGAGCCACTGAAGTAGGAATCCCTTTGGGATAAAAGCAGTGCTTCCTGCAGGGTTAGTGTGTGAGCAGGGCCGTGGGCTCTGGTTGGGTGGTAGGAGGGCGATAAAAGCACGTTCTCTAGAAAAAAGAGAAGAGAGAGAGAAGTCTTGGGAGCAAGTGAGAGTCTGGAGTGGTTAGCAAAGGGGCCTGCAGTGAGAAGCTCTGGCCAGGCTCACAGTGGAAGGCCCTAGGAAGCGGTCAGAACTCGGGGAGAAAATTCGAGCCAGCCCCAAAGGTGAACCCTTTGATGTTCATAACAATTTTTTTTTTAATTTTTTTATCTATTTATTTAGTTTTTTGGTACTGGGGGTAGAACCCAGGGCATCAGGCATGCTAGGCAAGTACTCTACCACTGAGCCACATTCCCCAGCCCTTTTTTATTTTATTCGGCGGTAACATCTTGCCAAGTTGCCTAGGCTGGCCTTGAACTTGGATCATCCTGCCTCAGCCTCCAGAGTCACTGGATTTACCAGCATGCACCCCCTCACCCGTCAGGTCATGAACATTTTTCTGAAGCCCCTTTGATCCTCTTCCTGGGCATCAAAGGCAGGCATCATTGAATTAAGTCATTTTCTACTGGACTGCCAACCTCCTCTTTCTAGAAATGGTAAAGTCACAGAGAAAAAGCAAGATGTGAAGGGATCCCCGGGCCTTGGATGATGCTATGGGGGCTTTATAGGTCCTGGAGACGACCTAGGGACAGCCACACCCAGTGGTCTTCCTTGTCTTCTCTGAAGGGTCTGCCTGCCAGGAGTGTGGGGGCACTTGAGTGCACCTGGAGGACTTGCTTCCTGTTTTCATGGGGGATGTTGCTCACTCAAAGGTAAATCTCACTTGCCATTATCTTGTTTCTGCTCTTTTTTCCCCCAGAAATCTGGCCTCATTCGCTCGACCTTGGACTGTGTCCTGCTATCAAGTATGGGGCAGGAGCCACAGGTAGAAGAGAAGGGAGATGGGCACTTATTCTAGGGGAGCCTGTGACTCTCCTGCGTGTCCAAGGTCATTTTGATCACTGGAACTGAAGCAGCTGGCACAGTAGAGATTTACTCCCAACTGCCCTTGCGCCTAATACCGTATTGCATTTCAAAACAGCTGTCTTGCTCTCCCAGCCACTTCCTAACTAGGGCTGCAAACGGCCCAGCTTGGCTCCCTCCCTGTCCTTGGACCTGCTCTGGCAATGAAATGTGATCCAGAAAAGCCCCTTTTGCATGGGCCCCGCCCACCGCCTGCTCCTGCACACCTTCCTAACAGCTCCCCAGTGGGGCAGAGGGGCTCTCGGCCCAGAATCAGACCCAGAGCCACAAACGGACCCCAGGGGCTGCCCTCCCCACCCCGACATGATGTGCACAGCCAGCTGTTGACAAGCACACCACGGACAGGGGTGCTCCAAGTTCTAGACTCACAGAGCCTCTGATGCCCCTGGCGGATCTGCTTCTGGGTTCCAGTTCTGTCTTGGGAGTCAGGGGACCCCGGTTTAGGATTCGGCTTGACTGCCCAGGGTAGCCCTGGAGAAGTCCTCTCAGCTTCTTGAGCTGCTTTCTCACCCATATAATAACAAGAGCTAACGTGGTTACCGGATAGGACTGTTAGAAGTTAACATTAACTCCTTGGCCCCAACAATCTTATGAGGTGGATGCAATCACTCTACCTACTCGTAAAGGGAAATTGGCCGGGTGTGGTGGCATATACCTGTCATCCCAGCTACTGGGGAGGCTGAGGCAGTAGGATGGCAAGTTTGAGGCCAGCCTGGGCAACTTAGAAGTTGTCTTAAAATGAAAAGGGCTGGGGATGTGGCTCAGGGGACAGTGCTCCCGGCTTCAGTCCCCAGTACCAAGAGTAAATGAGGACACTGAGGGAAACAAGCAGCGTATTCAGGGTCAGTTGGTAGGAACTGATGGTCACCCCAGGACCTGACCACTATGTATGCTGCTTCTGGTGGGATAAGAAGACTATATGAGCTGTCTCCGTGAAACTGGGCGGTGTGAACAGAAACACTCATGATGGCGGTGTCTGTGGCCAGGGATTGGAGGGGCTTGAGTGGAGGGTCAGGCCCAGGGCATCTCATCTGGTTGCAGTCAAGATGTTGGCTGGGGCTTCCGCGGTCACCCAAAGGCTCACCTAAGGTGGGGGGATCTGCGTCCAGGGTAGCTCACTCTCTGAGGCCAGGTGTTGGCTGGGAGCTGCAGGTCCTCACTACAGACCTCTCCATAGGCTGTTTGTGTGGTGTTGGTTGGTTGGTTGGTTGGTTGGTCCTGGGGGTTGAACCCAGGGGTGCTTAACCACTGAGCCACATCCCCAACTTTTTTTTTTTAAAGAGAGAGAGAGAATTTTAATATTTATTTTTTAGTTTTCGGCGGACACAACATCTTTGTTTGTATGTGGTGCTGAGGATCGAACCCGGGCCGCACGCATGCCAGGAGAGCGCGCTACTGCTTGAGCCACATCCCCAGCCCCCCATCTCAGCTTCTGCTGTACGCGACCTCTCCTGGTGTCTAGCAGTGTGTTCAAGGTCACTTGGTAGGAACTGCTTACATGGCTTTCTTTAAAGGACAACAGGCTTATTGGGTTTAGGACCCACCCTAAGCCTATAGAACTGCATCTTGGTGTGATTACATCTGCAAAGATCCTATTTGCCAATAAGGGCACCTTCACGGGTCCCTGGGGTCAGGACTGATGCGTACCTCGTGGGGTGCCCAGTCGGCCTCCAGCATGTGCAGTGTAATGTGGGAGGTCCTGCCTGGGTAGGAGTTGCTGTCTCCCTCACTGCAGTGGTGATGTTGGAAGTAGTGATCATGGGAGCTGGAGAAAGAGTGTTGGTTGGAGCCCAGCACAGTGGCCACGCCTGGAATTCCAGAGACTCAGGAGGCTGAGGCAGGAGGATCACAAGTTTGAGGCCAGCCTGGGCAACTTATTGAGACAGTGTCTCAAAACAAAATTTCAAAAGAAGAGGTGAGATACAGTTCAAAGGTAGCACTCTCCTAGCTTCAATCCCCAGTACAGGGCGGAGGGGGGGGACAAAGTGTGATTAGAATGGACATCCTGTTGATGTCACTGTCATTTCATGGCCACACAGGTGGGCAATTCTTTAAGTCTCTCTGAAAGCCCTTGATGTCTAGGCCATTTTTCCAAGTGTGGCTGTTCTCTCACTGGAACTTCCTCATGGTTTTCCATGGATTCTGTCCATTAAAATCTTCTCCATCAATTTCGCCCATGGATAATCTGTTTCCTTATGGGTGATGCTGCTTCAGCACTTTCTCACCCAGCTGTCTTGGAGGGATGGGCTGTCCATCCCTCACTCTAGCCCTCCAAGATACGCCATCCAGGCCCTCATTCCTGGGGCTCACTGGCCCTCAGCCAGTTGGGCATGCAGCAGTGTGTGCCCAAAGAACATAGAACTGGCAGTTGGCTTCCCAAATGGCTTCCCAATTGGCTTCCTGGCCCTGCTTCCAGGGAGCTGGGTGCCTCTGCCTCTTCCTGCCGTGGCTTTCTGATTGACAGCATGGCGCGTTGTGCTCTAGCTTCACTCTCAGGCTAGGTAGCTTCACAGAGGCCCACCCCTCCCTCTGGGCTCACTCTGTTAGCAGAGCCACAGGCAAATCCAGGAAGTTGACCCCAGACCCAGAGCCGCGCACAGGACACGGGACACCCGAGCAGGTGTCGGGCCGAGCTGGTGTTTCTCACCTCTCCTCTGTTCCTCCAGCCTGGGAATCCGACCACCTGGCTCTGGCCCTTACGCTGCCATCTCTGCTCTGGGGCCTTAGTGCCCCTTCCTGCTGGACGGCACAGATTGTCGCTGCTGAGCTACCTTTGCTGGTTGCGAGCCTGGCCGTGCTGAGTGTTTGCAAAGCTCTTCACTGCTCTTCAAATAAAAGGTGTTTTCTGTCTTTGGTTCCAGAGGGCCGCAGACTTCTAGCTGCTATACAAATATTTGTTGATTTTAATTTAGGATTTGCCAGCCCCAGAAGGAGCAATGCCACTAGGCAACTCTGCCTGTCACCAAAACTAGCCACCAGGGAGAATGTTGGGGTAGATCAATAATGAGGGACTGTGGGTTTGGAGGTTGGGGGCCCTTGTTGCCCCTAAATAGCCAGTGAGATGGGAACATGGGAAAGGAGATGATGGTTGAATCTTCCAGAGCATTCCTGTGACCGATAGCAGTGTAAAAACTACCTGGAAACCTAGTGGCTTAAAACAATAATTTATTTTTACCTCCCATGGTTGTGTGGGTTGGTGGGGCTCAGCTGGTGGGTTCTTCCTGGGGGACCCCATGCAGGTGCGGTCAGATGGCAGCTGAGACTGTGGTCATCTGAAGGCCCTGCTTGGCTGCATGTTCAAGATGGCAGCACAGGGTCCTCCCTGGGGCCTCCCTTCACAATAGGGCCATGCTTGGTAAGTGGCAGCTGACAACTCTAAGAACAGAGAGAAAACACTGGTCCTTGAGGGCTCAGTGGGGATCCAGCTGTGTCTCAGCTGTTTTAAGGCAGTCTCAAGCCAACCCACGGCGAAGGGGGTGGAGGAAGACCTCTTCCTCTCCATGGAGCAGTGAGGAGGAGGGAAGGAAATGAAGGCCACCCCAAACAAGGGACAATGTCCATCCTTAAGGCTCCTGAGCTGCCAGCCTAGAAGGGCTGTTGATAAGACACGAGGACCTGGCTTTGGCGTCGAGTGTCAGGAGAGGCCTAAACCCCTGCACAAGAAAGCCACTGGGGAGCGCACCTCCCCCATTACCCAGGTGCTTATGGTCACCCAGGGCAGTGGGAATGAGGGCCCTGGAGCACCAAGGGGAGGGCCAAGACCAGAGGATCACAGCCAGCCGCCTGGTCCCTCTCCCAAGCCCTGCTCACAGCTTGACCAAGCAGTTGGACGGCTGTGTGGGGATGGCGTCTAATTATCTCCAGGAGCCGCGCGGGCCTGAGCACTGGGTTGACCGCGCAGTCCCTCTGTTGACCTGGCTGTCTCTCCCAGTGAAGAGCTTGTCACCAGCCTCCTTTACTTGCATTCTTCAGACCTAGAGGAGATGGCGCCATGCTTGGCCTTGCTCACCTCTCCTGTGAGTTTCTTGACCTCGCCCCGTTCCTGGCTCCCAGCAGTGGCTTCCCTTGACCTGGCGTTGTGCCTCTGGCTTTCCAAGCCACCCCCTCCCCCCCTACTGATTTCTCCCTTCCTTTGTCTCTTTGTCCATTCTCTCACCCACAAAGCATCATTGTGTGCCTCAGAGCGGGCTGGGCCGGAGAGATACCAGGAACCACAAAGCCCACGAGTGATGTATTAGTCTCTTGTGGCTGCTATAACAAATTACTGAATACTGGGTGGCTTCCAATGACAACTTTATTCTCATAGTTCTGGAGGCCAGAAATCCAAGATCAAGGTACTGCAGAATTGGTTCCTTCTGGGTGTCCCAAGGAAGAATCCATTCCTTGCTTTTCTCCCAACTTCTGGTGGCTGCCATTAATCCTCGGCACTCCTTGACTTTTAGACACATCCCCCCAATTCATGCCTCTGTCGTTACATGGCCTCCTCTAAGTCTCCTAGGATCCTCTGGTTCCCATAGTGACAGTCTCTGTAGATTTAGGGCCCATCCTGATCTAGTACCATTTTGTCTCAAACCTTTTCTTAATTATATCTATATAGACCCCCCAAAAAGGTCACATTCTGAGGTTCCCAGTGGACATATAAAATTTCAAGGGACACCAGCCAACCTTTTACAAATGGCCTCTGGATGTTTGTGCCAAAGGTCTTTCTTTCTGTTCAGGACAGTCTCAGTGTTCCCAGAAAAGACTGGCAGGTGTACCAGAGATAGGGCCCCCCAGCTGAGCTCACGGTGTCTCAGAAGCAACCACATCCTTCCTCTGCATAAATGGAAGCGAGTTATTGCACCGGGAACCAGTTTTCCTGTCACCTTCAGAAGGCCCAGGTCCCTTGCTCATGCCTGTTCTTTTCTGGTACAATGGCCTTCATGGTTCCTTTTGAGAATAGCTACGTCTGTGTGCCCTTGGGCCACTCACTGCTTCTCTGAACCTTGATTTCCTCACTGGTAAAATGAGCTGCTTCAGAGTTTTGTAATGAATAAGAGGTCACTTAGCATCTCCAAGCCCATGGGAGGTGCCCAATGAGCAACCCAGCAGTCACCCGTCATGGCCACAGGTCTGGTTCTGCCTGTGTTTGCCAGGTATTGTGTCAAGTGTTTCATGGGGTTATCTGATCTAAACTCCAGGGCGCCAGGAGCCAAGTACGATTTTTATCTCCCTTTTTTCAAACAAGGAGACCAAAGCTTAGTGAGATTAAGTAAATTGCCCAGGGCCACTCAGTAAAGGGCAGCAGATCTGAAGTTTAAACCCCCTTGTGCCAGCTACTGATGGATCCTAAGCCCAAGGTCATATGATAAGAAATATATATATATATATATATATATATATATATATATATATATATATATATATATATATATCTGGCTAGGCACTTACCTGTGATCCCAGCTACTTGGGAGGCTGATTCAGGAGGATCACAAATTCAAGACTGGCCTGGGAAACTTGGCGAGACCCTGCCTCAAGGTAAAAAATAAAAAGGGCTGGGGATGTAGGTCAGTAATAGAGCATTCGTAGCAAGCCTGAAGCCCTGGTTCAATCCCTAGTGCCAGGAGGCCCCATGGCCCCCTCCCCAAGCATCCTGCATGCCTGCAAGGTGGACCATCCCTTGTTTTATCTGCATGAACCCTCTGTGGCCTACCTTGTTGACTTATGGGTCTGCAAACCTGTTCACAGGGGAGGTATTTATCAAAGGTTAATTAGAATGGGTGGATGAGGGGTGCTTTCCTGTAGGGCTCTCCAGCAAACAGCTGCTTCCCCTTCTCCTTGCATGCGTGCCAAACCCTCTTGCTCTCAACCTTGACGGACAGCCGGCCGTTGGGGCACCTGCAGTTCCAGAATCCAGGAAGAACAGCTGGCCCTAAAGGTACACGGACCTGCCCTTGGGGGGGGTCTGGTAAAGTAGAGCAGGGATCAGCAAACTGCATGTCACAGGACACCTCTGGACCACCATTTGTTCTTTTAAATAAAGTTTTATTGGAACACAGTCATGCTGACTTGCTGACATATTGACTGTGTCTGTTTTCCTTCACGGTGCAATGACAGAGTTGTATAGTTGGATGGAGACCACACGGTCAGTAAGTCAAATATCTTTGCTATTTGGCCCTTTCCAGAAAGAATTCGCAGCCCCCTGCCTTAGGGAAGTGTCTTATCCTCTGGCGTCTGCATCCCATGGTTCCTGTCTGGGCTTCTGTTGGGGCAGATAGAGGAGGCCAGAGATTTGTGTTGGCGAGGATGTGTTCGTGTTTGTCTCAACCTGATGGCCTGGACTTGTTCAGGACCCAGCAGGGTGGTGTGCTTAGGTGACGTTGACCCAAGGTCTGTGTTCTCCTTCATCCCAGCCCCGAGACTGCCACCGGCAGCTGGGCAGCTGCAGCCCTCTCAGGCTTTGGGCAGCCACTAGCATAGGACAACTGGTCCCCGCAGCCCAGGACAGGGCAGGACTTGTTTCCAGCACCCAAGGAATTCCCCCCACCCGTGCCCCCCCACTGCCTGGAGCCCAGGGGTAGGAGGTGACTTCCCTCCAAGCCCCTGGACTGAGAATAGCTGCAACTTGATCTCAGCTGAATAACTGTCACCTGGGTTGTGCCGCTGGCTGGAGGGCCTGGCTGTCCCTGCCCTCCTGTCATTGGTCAGAGGGACAGTCATTTGGGACTGACTAATGATAACTGCCTAAGCAGTCATCTCCTTACTTGGTCTCTTTTCTTACTCCTGGGGTGTCCTGGGTTCTTCGTGGGCTGTGACCCTGCCACTTTCCAGATCTGGCAGGGGATCTAGGAAAGGAGGGCCTGAGGGGACTGCAGCCACATAAGGCAATCAGAGCACCTTCCTGCTCCTGCCAGGGGCTTCAAACAGCAAATAAATATAGATGCACACAGCCCCATTCCTCCTGGCTGCTTGGTGCAGTGTGCCAGCCCCGGCTGTGCCTTTGGGCACTGTGTTCTGCTGGCTGAGGCTGGCCACAGTGCCTGCTGGAGCCATTGACATGGCCAGAACCCCGAGGGCAGCCAGCTCCTGGGGAGGGCGGCCTCGGTGTCCGGCCCCTTTACTCCAGCGGGCTGCAGCCCCAGTGACTGATTTTTCATAAAGTGTGTTCTGTGCTGACTCTGTGCTGCCCTGCAGTGTCCCTCGCTGTGGCACCGCTTGGCCTGCCCCAGGCTACTCTGCAGATTGCCAGGGAGGAACATACGTGCCTTACCTGGGAGGCCCGGGGAGGGGGGAGGAGCCCTGCCATCTCATCTCCCACCCCAGCTGACTTCACCAGCACCTCAGATTTCAAGTATCCAGGGACTCGGTGGTTATGCTGTGACTTCCATGTGATAAACGCAGGGCTCCGTGACCCACTACACGGGCTTTGAAGAGTGAATGCCGCTTAAGGGTGGAGACTTTGCAGACCAGAGTGTGTTGTTGCATGACCATATTTAGGCACGGCAGTGAGCACTTCATTCTGTTTTTGGTTTGCTTTGGTTTTTAGTGCCAAGGGTTGAACCCAGGGCCTTGCACATGCAAAACACACTCTCGACCACTGAGCTATGCCCCCAGCCCTACACACTGTTTAACCATAAAAAGAATTCATACTTGTTGAGAATTTGGAAATGAGATCAGAACTGATGGAAGAGGAAAGTAGAAATCCCCAGGATCCACTCATTCTCCAGAGAAGCAACTCAGAACAGTTGGGGCCGTGTCTTTCCAGAATATTCTTTGTGATTGATCATTTGCATCTTGCAATAATTCTACGAGGTGGGCAGATCAGATTGCAGAGTGGCCAGTTTACAGGTAAGCCAAGAGGCTCAAGGAAGTCAAACTCCCTGCCCAGGGCCAGCAGCCAGCCAGGTGCAGACTGGGAGGAGCAATCAGGACATGCCAGGCCATGCCTACTACTCCTGCCCCTGGGATTAGCTGCCCCAATGAGTGGCCCAGGATTTCTTTTCCCCAAGCTGATCACCTCATTGCACAAGCAGAAAACTAGGAGGCCTCCTTTCAGGTAGTAAACAAAGCAATATTGGCACAGAGTGACCAGATCAGAGAGGACTTTGCTCTCTGGTAAGGAGGTCTGGAGCCTGCAGTCTTCTCAGAGGCAGAATCTGGGGATCTAGGAGCCAGGGGCTGGGGGACAGCAGGCTCAGCCCTGCCAGTCCCAATAACAGCAGAACTAGCAGTTCCCACTCCCTCAGCTGAGCTCTGGGCTTTGGTGACTGGAGGGCAACGTATTCAGAGCTGCCAATCACAGAGCAAGATGAAGTCCCACTCTCCTACTGTAGAGGTTGCGTGTGCAGTTTCTGGTAAGTTATTTGACCAGGTGACAAACATATTTCAAGCAGATCAGTGATATCTTGCAGACAAGTCAGAAGTGTTGTTACGGTTTTGCTGTCAAAAAGGGAATGAAGTTGGCCTTGCAAAGTGGTGGAGAGAGCATTTATTAGTCTTGAGTCTTTTCATAAACCCTCTGTAGTGAGTGAGAAGCCAATTTGCATCCTGCTATTTTCCTCAGGCAAAATACCATCTGTTCTCCCAGGACACAGGTGAATGGCTGCGCTGGAGTTTTCTATAAAATTGGCATTTCTCCTCTTTTCCCAGAACTTACCGAAAGGTTCTATCCAGACGGGTGGGTGTAAAGTCCTACCTAGAACAAAGTAAAAAAATCAAGGTGGTAGAGGGAGACGAGACGATTCTACCATTTCTGTGGAAGGGCAAAGGAACTGGGATAACCAAGACCAGCTGGGTACCGTGGCGCTCACCTGTGACCCCAATGACTCAGGAGGCCAGCTTCCACAGCTTAGCGAGAACGTCTCTCAAAATAAAAAACAAAAAGGACTGAGCATGTAGCTTGGAGATGGATGGGCCCTGGGTTCAGTCCCCTGGATGAATGAATGAATGAATGGGTGATTAATGGATGAATAAATAAATGCAACTTAAAAATAACCATCACACCACCCTATTTTAAGGGTTAGTGGGAAGCTCTTGGTATCATAGAGCTGATCCTGTCTTTGCTTTTCTCCTTTTGCAGTGCTAAGTAATGAACCCAGGTCCTCGTAGCAAGTGCCATACCCTGAGCAAATCCCCAGCCAAAATGAACAATTTTTGCCTTTTGCTGGGTGTGATGGGGCATGCCTTTAATTCCAGAGACTCAGGAGACTGAAGCAGGAGGATTGCAAGTTTGAAGTCAGCGTGGTCAACTTCATGAGATGCTGTCTCAAAATAAAAAGGGCTAGGGGTGTGGCTCAGTGCTGGAGGGCCCCTGGGTTGAATCCCCAGCACCCCTCCAAACACACACATGACCCTTAAGAGAATGAGAGGACAGCAGAAAATACAAGTCACATATTTCACACACGGAAACCCTTGTATCCATAATATATAAAGACTTCTCAAAATTTGACAGTAAGGAACAACCTAATTTTAAAAATGGGCAAAAGACTTGAACAGATACTTCAGCAAAGAAGACACACAGATGGCAAATAAGCACATAAAAATATATTCAACATCATTAGCCACTAAGGAAATGCAAATTAAAACTGTGATAAGATATCACTATATGCCCATTGTAATGACTCTAAAAAGACCCACAGCAGCAGGCCCCAGCGGAGATGTGAATCTCCCAGAACCCAGAGGCTTGGTTGTGGGGGATGCGAAATGGTTAACTCAGGCTGGGTGAAGCTCAGTGGTAGAGCTCTTGCCCAGCATGTGCGTCCAATCCTTGAGACCTGGGAGAAAAAGAAAAGGGGTGGGGTGGGTAAAGGCATCTGGAAGATGGTTTCTACATTTCTTATAGAGTTCAACACACCATAGGACCTAGCGGGCTCAGCCCCAGCTGCCCCTGGACAGGGATCCTCAGCCTGAGCACCACTGATACTTCGGGCCAGATCCTTGATCGCTGTGGGGCTGTCCTCGGGGTCTAAGGTGTTGAGCTGCCTCCCTGACCTCAACCCACTAGAGCCAGCAGCACCCCCACCTTGTGACTGTCAAAAATACTTTGAGGGCTTGCCAGCTGCTTCCGGGGGGGCCAACTGCCTCCTATTGAGAACATTGCCCTGGAAAAATGAAAACTTTGGTTCTCACAAAAGCCTTTGCACAAATATCTAGAGCAGCTCTATTCACAGTCACCCAAACCTGGGAAAAACCCAATGTCCTTCAGTGAATGAACGATACACAAACCCTGGCAGGCCCAGACAGCGGACAGCACGCAGTAACAGAGCAATGAACTTCGGATACGCAGACGCTGGGACGACCCTTACAGGCGGGATTCCCGGGGGGGAAGCTGTCAAAAGGTTAGATGCTGTGTAATTTTGTTTCTGTGACATTCTCAAGCAAACAAACAAACAAATAAAAACTACAGTAACAACACATCCAGGGGTGCAGCAGGGGCTAAGGGTGGCTCCCCAGCGGGGCTGCTTGAGAGAGGAGTTGGCAGTGGAACTGTTCTGTATCCTGACTGGGGTGGTGGTTCTGTGAATTTAAACACACACACACACACACACACACACACAGAGTTTTATTATTATGTTATTCAGAGTTCTGTTACTATCACAAAGTACCTGAGAAAAATGAACTAAAAAGAGAAAATGTTTGTTTTGGCTCACAGTACGAGATTTGAGTCTGAGATCTGGCCCTGTTGCCTAGGGGCCTGTGTTGAGGCCATATACGATGGTGGGAGCACTTGGCAGAGGAAGGCACTCACCTCATGGTGGCCAGAAAGCAAAGAGAAAAAGAAGGACCAGCATCCCAATTTTTCCCTAAAGGGAATGCTTCCAAAGACCTAACTTTCTTCTGCTAGGCTCCACCTCCAAAGGTCTACACCTCCCGGTAGCCCACGGACTGTGTCCACACCTTTAACACAGGGGCTTTGGGGACATTCAAGATTCCAATGATAGCACTATGTGTTAATTCTAAAACTAAAATAAGAACAAGGAAGGGGAGGCTGGATTAAGAAGAACACGTGTTTTTCCTGCCAATCTTTTCCTTCTTTAAAGGGTGACGTCTGGAGAAGGGCTCAGTGTTCAGCCCTCCGTGGTGGAGAAGAGGAAGGAGAAGTCCTCGTCATTGTCATTCACTAGCCTTTCCCCCTCCGTTGCCCGTTTCTGGTTGATTGTAACCTCCAGAGGAAACGAACATTTGAATATGTAAGTGGAAGGAGGGTGAGAAAATTCAGAACGGGGTTCCCACACTCACCACCCTCCCCTGCTGGCTGGGCTGGCCAGGTTCCCAGGTTGCTGAGAGCCAGCTTTGGGGCAGGAAGGAAAAGCTAGAGAAGGAATCGGAGACGGGAAGGAGAGAAGAACCTGGGCAGGTGGGCAACGCAAAACAAATGCTGGAGTAAATGCGATTTTTTTTTTTTTATGCAAGAGTCATAAGCAGCCAGCAAGCCACAGTAGAGCAGGAAACTTGGTCTGTTTGAACACTGGGTTACTGTTTTCTTAGCCCTTAGGTCATTTAACCCCCAGAGCTGGGTTCTACGATTGTTCTATTTTATCAATGAAGCAACTGAAAGTCAGTCTCAGCCCATTCAGGCTGCTATAACAAGATCTGTTAGAACAGGGAATTTATAGTTTACAAAAGTGCATTACCCACAGTTCTGGAGGCTAGGAAGTCCAAGGTCAGGATCCTAGCAGATCTGGTGTTGGGGGAGAACTCACTATCTGCTTCAAAGATGACATCTTCTTTCTGAGTCCTCATGTGGCAGAGGGGTGGACAAGTTCCCTCCGGCCTCTTTAAAAGGGCACTAGTCACCTCTTAAAGCCCTACCTTTCAATACTATCACATTGGGGATTAAATTTCAGTACATGAATTTTGGGGGACACAAACACACACACCTCAGCATGGCCTAATAAGCAACCTGATGCAGAGGACTCAGAATTTGATGCCACCCACGGACAGTTGGTATCTAAGCCAGTACACACCGTGGTCTGGATGATGTTCTGGGTGGAAATGGGGACATAGTGACTGCAGCCCTCAGGACTCTCCTGAATGAGGGAGAAAAGGGCACATGATAGGGATCTCAAAATCTGGACTCCAGTCCTGGCTCAGCCACTTGCTGTGTGATTTCCAAGAAGTCACTTTGCTTCTCTGAACCTCCGTTTCTTTATTTGAAAACACCGGACTGTCCTGAGGACTGAATGGGGCAGCACAAATGGAAATATTTGTAAAATATGACAGATGGTGTGAACATAAAGTGGAACGAATGCTCTCTCCCCTCCACCACTTCATTCTGTCCTGGAACTTGCTCATTTTCAAATACTGGGGTCAAACTGGCTCACACCTGTCATCCTAGCTACTCAGGAGGCTGAGGCAGGAGGATTGCAAGTTTAAAGCCAGCCTGGGCATTGTGCCAAGATCCTGTCTCAAAATAAAAATTTGAAAAGGACCAAGGAGATAGCTGAATAGCTGAGTAGTAAAGTGCGGGTGTGTGTGTGGGGGGGTGTTTCAATCCCTAGGACCCCCAAATATATGAATAAATAAACAAATGCAAGGAAATATTATCTTCATTAAGGAGCTGGGGGGTCACACATTTTAAATTGCATTTATTGTTTCAGTAGGTAACCTGTTCACACAGCTCAAAAATTTCAAGTTACAAAATTTTGTATCAAAAACGCTCCTCTAGGGTCTGGGGTTGTGGCTCAGCAGTAGAGCGCTGGTCTAGCACGCGGGAGGCCCTGGGTTTCAATCCTCAGCGCCATATAAAAGTAAATAAATTAAAAACAACAAACAAACAAAAAACAATAACCAAAACAAAACACCACCCCCTCCTCTAGGGCCAATGCGGCCAGTTTCCTGGGGTGCATTCAGAGACACACCTCCCCACGCACAGCTGGGAGCATGCGCAACGCTGCTCCTTCGCGGGCCCTGCGGTAGGTGCCCCTTCCTCTGCTCTTTGAGACCTGAATCCAGCGAGCCCCCCACGACCCGAGCCCCCCACAACCCGTTCTGCTCCTGGACTTCGTATCTAGGGCCAGGTCCCGTGGAGGGCACCCGCAGCCCTTCATCAGGTATAAACACCCAGCTCGTTCATTTCACAAAGGCACCCACGTAGCTGGATGTGGCCTTTCTAGAAGTGGGGTTGCTGGGTCAAAGTCTGTGTCCTTGGTGGGCACTGCCTGGTGGCCTCCGCGGAGGACGGATCAGCTTACAGCGCTGTGGCAGAGCCCGAGCGCCTCTTCCCGCCTGTGCCAACTGGGCGCGACACCAGCCTTCGTCTTTGCCAAGTGGCTCAGTGGACAATGGGGTCTGGGGTGGCTTCGGTGCACTTCTCCTACCCTCAGTGAGGCTGAGCATCTTTTCGGTGCTCACCCCTGCGATTGCCCCTGTTCCTCTCCATACACAACCCACGGCCAAGGCGGCGCTGCGTGGTGTTTCTGTCCTCGGCTTCTAGCTGAGTCACTCCCAAGAGGGAAAGGGCAGCGGGCTCAGGTTATTTCTGCCCCTGAAGCCATCCGAGCTGCCAGTCCTGGGAAGACCTTGGGCTCTGGTATTTCCTGTTGCCCAGCACTCTGGACTTGGCCCCTGTCAAGCTGGGGCTTCTCCCTGGGAGGGATGGGGCTTGCAGGTATGGATCAGTTAGGATATGTTTGCAAACTGGTCACGAAAGAACCCAGGGCAGAGGCTGGGGATGTGGCTCAGGCGGTAGCGCGCTCGCCTGGCATGGTTTCGATCCTCAGCACCACATAAAAATGAAATATAGATGTTGTGTCCACCGAAAGCTGAAAAATAAATATTAAAAAATTCTCTCTCTCTCTTAAAAAAAAAAAAACAAAAAAACCCAGGGCATATTGGGAGAGGGCACAGTTGGAAGGAATTCATACCAAGGTCCTCAATGTTTGATGGACGGTTGAACCCGGGGCACTCTACCACTGAGCCACATCGCCAGCCCTTTTTACATTGTTTTTATTTTGAGACAGGGTCTCTCACTAAGTTGCTGGGGCTGACCTCAAACTTGGAATCCTCCTGCCTCAGTCTCCCAAGTAGCTGGGATTGTAGGCTTGGGCCACCACGCTGCTTTAAGTGACAAAATCAAAGGAACCAGGCTGAGTGTAGAGAAGGGGAGTGAGTTGGTGGATAGGACAGGGGGTGGAGGAGAGTGAGCCACAGGGAGGGGATGGGAAAGAGGAAATGTTCTCCCTGGAGACACACAAGATGCAGCTCACAGCACCCACACCAGGCAGGCCCCAAAGCTCTGCAAGATTATTGCTAAGGGCAGCCTAGAGTCAAAACTACAGATGCCCTTTTGCTGAGCATAAAGAATTCAGGCCATCATGTGACCAGACCAGTTAAAGGTCTGGAGAATCCCTGTTGGCCACTGACCCTCCCTGAGTGGGGGTTCTCAGCATCCTTGGAGATGCACAGTTCAGGCTATTGTAACTTGACTTCCTTGCAGGGCCCTGTGTGGCTGGCTGAATCTAGCTCACAGAAGGACAGGAGGAGCCAGTGGCTGGATTCCTGGGCCCCTGGGGAGTCTGCAGCCTGTTATTTCCTGATTCAAACAAACAGCAGATTTGTTCTGGAAGTTGCTGAGGCAGAATCCTTCTGGAGCCCCTTGAAGGATGGGCCTTGTCATTTTATAACCTCCAGAGTATCTGATCCCATAAAGGAGCCAGGCCTCTGTGTCTTGGAGCTGCAGCAGAGACCCCAGAGAGCACGGGCTTGCTCTGGGCTCAGCTACCATCCTCTCCTCTCTCCTTGGCTGAAACCTGCCATCCAGAGCCACACTTCAGGGCTGGGACTGTAGCTCAGTGGTAATGTACTCGCCTAGTGTATGTGAGGCCCTGGGTTCCATCTCCAGCACTGCAAAACAACAACAGGTTAATCTGAATAGAGCCAAACTTCAGAAATGGATAGCTCCTTTGTATCTTGAGCCCCCCTGTGGTCCATTCTGGGGCTCCCCATGGGAGAAGTAGCCTGGTGGCAGGTTGAAAGGGCCCGGCTGCCTTTCTGCAGCGATCTTCTGATCTTCTGCGTCTTCCCAAAGCCCCAGTATGAAGCCGAGTTTTCAAGGGCTGTGATCATGGATGCCTTCCTCCTCTGCTCCTCAGCCTCCCTGGGGGGAAAGTACAACAAGCTGAGGTTGTCCCTCAGGCCACCAAGAAATGCTTAATTGCTTTCTGAGAGAATTGTCCCCCACCCCCTTCTGGTTCCCATCCCCCTCTCCACTGCTCCCTCCACCTCTTCCCCAACCTCTGGAGGCTCTTGCTCAGGGAGTTGGAACTGAAGACACAAACTTGCTGGCTGCGTCCCAAGTCACCAAGAGCCATGTGCGGAAGAGCAGCTTGCCTCTCCAAATATACTGCACCACCTTTGCTGAAAAAAGAATCCTATGTTTGGGGGAATAAATGTGCATTTTGCTGGGAGCCAGG